AGTTAGGTTGGATCAACACTTTGCGAGCCTAACAGTGCGAAGAACTTAGGTGATTATGCACCTGATCAGACGGTAAAGCCGCAAATAACTGAAGTTGCGACCTCATTAAGAGCTCTATCTTCACCATAATCGCAGGACTGCCGCGATGTCGGAGTTTTCACCCCGTCTCCCTCCGTCTGGGAACCGGCCGCATGTTGAATCCCATTTCGAAAGCATGGGAGATATTGAAAGCAGCCCTTGCGCACGCCGGTCAGCATCGTCATCTTCATTTTCGGCAACTCCAAGCTCCTTCTTCTCGACGGCACCTTCAATACCTGCCGTAGAAATCGACCTTGAAGCCAGCCCAAGCCACAGTGAGATTGCATCTTTTCCACATCATGTCTTCAAACATAGACTTCGGTTTGCCACTCCGCCAAAGACAAAGCCTTCGCGGAAAGCATGGTGGTGGAAGAAAGGTCTCCGGGTCAAAGAGAAAGATGGTGGCGAAAAAGTGCGTTGGGTATGCCGTCTTTGTGCAAGGAGGAAGTGCCGGCGCCCTCTCGACTACAACTTTGCCTCAGATGGCACGGCAAACATCGAGAGGCACCTCTTAAAGCGTCATGGTATCTATGTAAGCTTCAATGTACTAATTCTTTCCTTCTGCATATATTCGTAATTGCTGACGTGCTGCTTTTGTAGGATTTATCTGGCAATAAAACAAAGCCAACCTCTGTTTCGAAGAGCCTTGCCACAATGTACGACATCAATCCTCAAAGTAACAACGGACAGAATGTCCTGTATAATATGCTCAAAAAAGTCGGAGAACCCAATGCATTGGATGAGCTCCTGATCGAATGGGTTACTACTGAGAACCTCCCTTTCCGCATCGTCGAGAGCACCAGCTTCCAGAATATTGTTCTCCATCTTAATCCTGCTTTCAAGGGCCGAATTCCTTCAGCAATGGTTCTTCGGGACAGACTCGATACCTTGTACAAGCAGGCACAAGGGCCAGTTACAGAGCTTCTTACGACAGCCCGGGGAAGAATTCATGTCACTTTTGATGGCTGGACATCTCGCAATCGTCTATCTTTGCTAGGAATTAATGTATTCTTCATTGACGTAGATTGGAATCATCGCAAGTTACTTCTTGGGCTGCCCTCAGTTCAGGGAAGACATACTGGAGAGAATCTTGCTGACGAGGTGGCAAGTGTGCTTGCAGAGTTTGGGATTGATGCTTCAAGACTAGGCTACTTTGTCCTTGACAACGCCCGCAACAACGACACAGCTGTAGCAGCCCTTGCTGGTGAATTCGACTTCAACCCCGAGCATCGCCGACTTCGCTGCATTGGCCACATCCTCAGCCGAGTGGTGAAGCAGTTAATCTTTGGTGCTACTGCCAATGCGATGGAGACCGAAGATGATGCTGACTTCGACTTCAACACTGCCAGCGATGAGTTGAAGAAATGGAGGAAAAAAGGGCCGGTTGGGCGGCTTCACAACTTCGTCGGCGCCATCAACCACTCTCCTCAGCTCGTTCAACTGCTCCTTGAATGGCAGAAAGAAGATATCGCCTCCGGTAAACTTAGCCACATCGATAAGCTAACAGGAAGGCTCAGGAAGCCACTTATGCCAGTATCTGACAATGAAACCCGCTGGAACTCGAGGTACAGAATGATGCAGCGTGCCAAGCTTCTTCGCTCTTATTTTTCTCGGTTGGTCATATATATCCAAGAGCAATGGGAGCATGATAAACTGCGGAAGGGCACGAAGAAACCCACGATTCTGGATGATAAGCTAGAAGACGCCGATTGGGATGTTATCGATGTGTTTTTGAAGGTCCTTGGTGCCTTTGACGCTCTCTCAACCCGTCTCCAGGGAAATGGTGAGCCTGATGAGGATGGGAACATCCGGTCTGGCGCGTTCTGGGAATACTTCCAATCCTTCGAGTTCCTCCTTAACCACCTCGAGAAGCTGAAGATGGATACCGACCTGGTCAATGGGCTGGACGCCAAGTCAGTCACTATGGTACGGAGCCATATTAATTTGGCTTGGGAAAAGCTGGACAGCTATTACCAGAAGCTGTGCCCTCCTGCGTATGCCGCCGCTATTGTTCTACATCCTTGTTATGGCTGGACGGCCCTTGCAAAGCATTTCAAGGGCAACCCTAATGCCAAGAAGTGGCTTGTAGAATATAAACATTCCGTAAAGAAATTATGGGAGGAAGACTATCAGCACATCGCCTTGAAGTCCGCTGACACTCCTTCCCCATCGTCAACATCGACGTCCCGTAAAGAACGCAGTGAATTCGAGACCTTCCTTGACTCAGCAATGCAAGACGATGAGGATGACGCGATGGCTATTGATGGTAGTATAGGTCCCTTCCTTGATGAGTACGACAGGTATTGTAAGACATGGAAGCGTGCGGATCCTAAGCTCTATCGAGAGAACCCGTATTTATGGTGGAAGGCACATGAGAAAGAATACCCAAGGCTTTCTCGTATGGCAAGCGATGTTTTGTCCATCCCTGCCATGTCCGCACAAACAGAACGAGAATTCAGCTCTTGTGGGCGTATGGTGGGCGTATTAAGGACGAGGTTGGACCGTTGGGGCATTGCTATGTCGCAGTGCGTTCGCTCATGGAAAAACGAGGGTATTATATAGTATGGCAGCCCGAATAAGACTCTTTAGCTCTTATACGGTCTCCCGGTGCTCACTAGACATCTCCCGTCCTGATATGGGAATGCATGACGGGACAAAAATGAGGCTCTTCATGAAGTGTGAAGGTCGCCTGATCGTCAATCCCTCCGGATGAGATTGGCAACTCATCCAACTCCAACCAATCCTAGGTTCTGGTTGGTTGGATACAACCAATCCTTGCTGTGAAAGTCTCCAATCGATCCAATCCGAGGGTTGGATTGGTTGAGTTGGTTGGAAGGACACTCTGCAACTGACTAGATGATTCTAACGAATATCCAAAGCTGAAGAAGAAAGAGAAGAAGGAACAAGAAAAGGAGAACCTCGAGCTCCTGAGCTCGCCGCTGCTAATCTCGCTACCCTGAACTGGAGTATTAGGTGCTGTCGTCCAAGCGAAATCCCATAATGGTTGTTTATGCGAGCGTAAATTGCCCAAATTCCCCTAACACAAAAGTGGGGTGCGCACTGTGATCCATTAACGTAGATGCATAGCGAGTGGACCCGCATACCAGCGGACCAACTCAAATTCCCGTACAAATGACGCGTTTCAGCCCCCATGCAAAAATAGGCGTTCTTTGTTCTTTTACAAAAAACCATAAACCTGTAACTAACTACTTATCAACTACCTTCCAATTATGAGAACGCTGGGTCCGTACGCATACCTCGCACTAGAGTGTTTAGAAGTCTCTCCACTCACACGGCGGCAGACTTTTAGCCAAGAGACTTCGCTCATGCCGTTTCCCTAATTGTCCCACATTGTCTATGAGCATGAATCGGCTTGCTGACCTTATACGAGTCAGGAAGGCCGGGGGTCAGCTTACGAGTCAAGATAAGTGTTGGCCCGCCTGGTCCTTGTGGGCTGTTTTATTGAAAGGCCTGACACTATGGCTACGCGGGCCTGGCTCTTACGCGGGCCTGACTTTTACCACTTCTGATTCGCCCATATTTTCTTGTCTCACAGGTACTTCATAGCAAAGGCGGTGTAGCCAGCTTCCCTAACAGTGCCTGAATTAGATCAATTGCATACGATCGCTGGCGCAATTCATCTCCCACTATTTAGGAAGATTGTGCTCCAGTATTGATCATGATCTTATACTAGTAGTCAGTAACTTCCGCACAATCTAGTAAAGCGGCAAGATAATCATGAAACTAATACCTAGCTAAAAATACTATCTTATTGCTTAACGACGATACAATCTGCATCTTCCTCATCACTCTTGGCCAGTTCCCATTGACTCATCGTCCTGCGAATATTTGGTTGCGTCCTACGACCACTGCAGCGCACACCTGTTGTCTTCCCAGATCTAAGAATTGTAGAAAGTCTACCTGTATGTCGCTGGATCTGTCGCGCTTTTGCACGTTTAT